ACTGTAGCGACAATCGGCGGTTTGCTTTTTGTTGTCATAATTGGCAGCAAATATCGGATACGAAAAACCAGGGTCATGTCCAGTTGCAAGAGGAAAACCACGCAATATGTTGTAACCCATTAAAGCATAGTCAATATCCGGAAAAGAAAGCTTAAAATGTGTGCCTTGGCATTCTTGGAGTAGATAGTCTTTGCGCATTCCTGCATTCAGATACAACAGAAAATTTAAAGTGCAGCAAATCGGATAAGATTATTGAAAAAGTACACCCATTACAATGCTTAGAATGTATAATTATGTTATGTAGCTGGTTTATTTTTTCGTCAAATTATTCTTCCAGTGGTGTTCATGTGGTTAGGTTGTCTGCTTTACAACCATGGCATTGTGGCTTCGAACATCTTGGGTACAACCATAATTTTATTTATTTGAATGATACGACAATTAAAGTGACATTATGTTCAATTTTCGCTGTCAATTAAGGTTAAACTGTTAATAAACTAATATTTCAATAGATTGTCTGTAATTGGCTATTATGATGGTAATTGTAAAGGATAAAATATAAAATTACCTAAATAATAACTTATAGAAATATTGCCCCACTCTTAGTTTTAATTTACCTTTACCTGTGCTCTCAACACTAAAACATTGGTTGGCATCATCATATTGTAACTTTAAAGACTGTCATTTACTGTTCTACAGATATTTGTAAGAATATACAAAAACTGTACAAAAAGGTGTTTCAACATAATACATCTCCCGCTGTTTGTCATACCCGCTGCGATGTTTTAGATATTAAACACCTGCAACTTCATTCAACTAAATCGAATCTTTTTTGAAGAAGTAAAAGATTTTCCTTTTATAATCTCGAATTGATTCAGCGTATTAAAATATTGTGTGTAACACATTTGCCAAACCAATATAAATGTGTCAATGAATGAACTCCTCGGGTTAGATACGTATCGTAAATCTATTTACCAATATTAAGGTAGTTTTTCCGCGTATTATCTGAGACTGGTATTGCACCGCCAAGTAATCTATCAGCATGTTGGTTGGAGGATGTAAGAACTGTCATTAAATCCCTGTACGTAAACAAATTTTAAGATAATAATATAATACAAAGCAAAAATTGAATTAAAGTTAAGCAACTCATATTGTGATCTTACAAATTCAAAATAATTGAACATTGCATAAAATCATATTGAGGATAATAAATAAGTGTTTGTTGAATATTAAATCTATTAAAGTAAATAAAATGATAGTATGCGAGCCTCTTGCTATTTTCTTATTTTGTAAAATGTCCTGCTCTAAGTTTTATTTAATGTCTTAAATTTATTTATGAGCATCAATGAAAGTAAATTTTAAATGGCGTAAAAAGGATAGACTGGTAAAGATGTGTTCATATGCTTACCTGTTTACCTTCGTCTGATTATATCCGAAGTATACTAGATAACTTACAACAATGACAAATACTGCCAGAAATACCAGAAATGTCTTATTCCTACCTATACAACCCTAGACATAAACTTTAAAATACAAAATGACATCACGTTTATAATGCATTTTATCTAACAGTTCAGTGGACGAAAGTGTGGAGACATTCGTCTTTACAGTCATTTGAATGATGTATTCTGACGACTGACAGTAAACGGTTATAAACTGGTGCAAGAAAAGTGCTCAACTGACAGGATTCCGTTGACATGTATAACAAGAGATGGTGCGTAGGTAATTATGTTTAATGGTTAGTCCTGAATTTGCAAGTTCCGCTACCATCATTGACTCTATGTGTATTAAGTTAGTAAAGTCCTAATGCATTCTCTTCACTTAAAAGAGTATTTAAATGGGCTAGAAATACTTTCAACTGCATTAAAATAAAGATCATGGATTCAAGCCCAAGGAGTCCATCTTTGAAATATTTATTGGCTAAATAAGGTAAAACATCATCTCCGCTCTTACAAAATCTAATAAAATCACAACTGGATGGTAAAATATTTGTATATTTAAACAGATCAATCAATACACTTCTGGTAAAAAATGGGTAAACTTTGAAAACAGTAGATTAAAGCGATATTTTTAATAAGCAGGAAAGTTGTCAAACAAGTGTTCAAAATAAGTTGGTAGGTTATTTCAAACATTTTAATTAAAAAAGTAATTCATCTTGTGTGGTACTCTCCTGCGCATAGTTCGAATGTTCCACTATTGCTCACTTCTCACTTCGTCTGCAGTAACGCGATTGTATTCAGTGAGCTGCGAAGGGAGCGTACTTGTGTGGTTGTTAGTTGAAAGATATAATTTGTTGAGTATTTATAATTAATGTGAAAACATGTTTCATAAGGATGAGAATACAAGTAATTAATAGTTTCTTTTTTCTGAAACAAAACATTTTTAATGTTCAAGATTTTCTACAGAAAGTGTCAAGAAGTCTAAAACAGTACGGTAAATTTTGTGTGATTGTCCTTTCAGAAAGTTACGTTTTCTTAGATATTGATTACATTCGGAACTGCTTCGGCTATTATCTATAACAACCTCGGCAACAATACGGATTGAAAGTAGTTCTACCACGTGGTTTTCAGATGTAAACAGAAACAGGGATAATGTAAAACTAATGTATATATATGACATTTAATGTCTGTTCCAGTACTCTTATGCTTGAAAATATGTCTGACAACAATTTGTTATTTAAATATGCCCACTGATGTTAAATTTTAAACAAATACGACTAAATGTCAAAAGATTGGTTTTTTGTACTTTCGGTTTCTACAACTATGATTATAAATATATAAATAATGTATTGTTTGCTTTTGTTCCTATGAATTCACCTATTTTAGGTGGACTTTTACTACATATATTGGCATTAAACTTGTCAACAACTCCCAGCATTGAATTACTATTTGTTTACATGTTTAGTTTCTGTGCGTAGGTTAGACCAAAATACCGCATCCGTTCTGTGTATTCATACTATTGTGTTCGAGGTCCTTATCCGAAGACTGACGGAAAGGGCCGAGTAGTTGCGATTGATATTGATAATGCTCATAAGGAATATACTACCTTTATTTTTATAGTTTGATGTTTTTCATCACAAACATTAAAATGACTTCTGTAAACGAAAATCTCTAAACAAGAAAAACATCACCCTTAATGACAAAGATAAATGCATCAAGTTTTGTCATAAATAAATGACAAAATTTGTTTCTTGATATTCTTAACTGTCAATTCTAATAAACCGTACTGCCCACTTACTTAAACGTCACATTAGAAATTATTGTTATATCTACGATGACAGAGTGAGAGGTGATATATTTGTGTAATTATCTCGTTCGCACGAGATACTATGTCGTACACACGAGTTACTTAGTTGTGCGCAGGAGTTACTAAGTAGTGCTCACGAGACAATTAAGTATTGCGCACGAGTTACTAAGGCGTGCGAACAAGTTACTAAATCGAAATAGTTAAGTACCGCGAAGGGGATACTATGTTGTGCGCACTAGTTAATAAGTCGTGAGTACGAGAAAATTAAGTCGTGAGCAGAGTTATTGAATTGTTCAAACGAGTTACTAAGCTGTACGCGTGAGATTATCAAGTGATGCGTACGAGAAACTTTGTAGTACGCACGAATTTTAAGTCGTGCGCAAGAGATAATTAAGTAGTGTGCACGAGTGACTATGCGGTGCGAACGCGATAATTTAATCGTGCGCAAAACATAACTAATCAATCACATTACTCTATATGAATTTTTTAACTTTATTAAAGTTTTACATGTTACATTAATTTTTGAAACTGCTGATAGTGTTCACTTGAAATTTGATACATGTTTTAGGATTATATTAGGTCACTGATCAGGCATTAAATTTGACTATGTCAAGGTCCTTTTTAGGCCCCCTTCCCAACTAAAAAGTGGGAGCAATCATGTGATAGGATTAAGCAATACGTACGTACTAACTGCCCGTTATCCTTGTCCATACGATAACTTAAGAAGGAATAATAGTATCACGTGCGCACGAGATACACATTAATAAAAAAACACACGCGTGCGCGCACGCACGCACACACACCTCACTGTGCCACAGTAAATATCAGCTGTTACTTTTGCAGTTCATGCAAGCAATGCTGGGTATTGTTAATAACGTTATTTACCTGGCGTGTCAATCGTCTACCCTCTGCAACCTCTGAAATAATATAGCATGTACAGTTAAATTTTTAATCTCCTAATAAGGGAAACAATAACTGAATGTAGATAACAATATACCGTTGTGTGAGAGGTTGTTTCATTAAATCCATTTTGTAATATGTAAACGTTTTAGTAACGGGAAAAAGGCTATGAATAGTGATTAAACATGACCATACAGAATTTTCATGGCTTTGTCAAGCTTGTCCTATTTTCTTTTATTTACTTTACACAGCTGATTAAATAAAATTTACTCTTAAAAATGCATATTTTAATTGATAAGTAGTAAGTAAAAATGAATTGAAATATTAATAAATGAAGCGGTCAACAATATAAAGAATACATGGAACATGGAAATGTATCAAGTTTATACTGACTATATTGGAGTGTATTATTATTTTTTATCACATAAACCGCGGCGCAGGAGTGTAATAAAGCCATTTAATAAAAACGATATTACACTAGACGATATTACACTAGTGTAATAACACTTTGACGTCACGTCATTTGCGCTATAAACATAGCGTTAAAGCGCGCTAATGTTAGCGTTACACTATAGGCGCGTCAAGAAAACTGACTCTTGATAAGAGTTTACCGTTCTTATTTTATATATGTGATAAATAGAATATTATATTCGTGTAGATTCAATACTAAATTTATTGAACTCGTTGAATAAAACAATATTATGCTCGCCAGAGGCTCGCATAATATGATTTTATTCAACTCGTTCAATAAATTTCGTATTTAACCTACACTCATTCAATATCCTCTATTTATCACCCACTTGTGCCGATTTTGCGACTCCGTAAATATTGTTTTGCACGGCCGTGCATATATTTTGACGTGACGTCATTAGCGTTATTTTACCGGCTGCCGGTACAGATCGGAATATCTAGCTCGAGGATAATTATTTACGGCGGTAACGAGGCTCTGTCGAGTTTCCGCTAAACAGTTACCCGAGAGCTAGATTTTCCCGTCTGTACCAATTGCCGGTGTTTGTTTCTTTTTCTTGCATATCATGTCAATTTTTTTCGGAAAAGAAATTATGAAAACTGATATTCTCATTTTGCCTTTTTTTATAGTAGCGTATGAACATACAACTTCATTCATAACGGAAACATGACGTCATCCAAAGAACGCAATTTATTCATAAAAGGCGCGCGTCAATGACGTCATTTAAAGCACGCGACTTGTCTTACATGGGGGTGTAAGACAGAGTTTTCTGGCACCGGTGTAAACGGTAGATTATAAAAATCTTACACCGGTTGTCGGTACAGACAGGAATATCTAGCGCGAGGGTGTCTGTTTATGGCGGTAACGAGGCTCTGCCGATTTTCCGTCGTAAACAGTCACCCGAGAGCTAGATATTCCTGTCTGTACCGACAGCCGGTGTTTGATTCTTTTTCTTGCATTTATAACATATCAATTATTTTCAAACAGAAATTACAAAAACGGATATTTTCATAACGCACTTTTTACTTATAGTAGCGTATGAACTGACAATTTCATTCATAACGGTTAAGTGACGTCATCCGAAGAACGCAATTCATTCATAAAAGGCTCGCGTCAATGACGTCATTTATAACACGCGACTTGTCTTACATGGGGGTGTAAGATAGAGTTTTCTAGCACCGGTGTAAAAAGGTAGATAATCCTGTCTGATATGCAAGAATATAAGAATCTTACACCGACTGCCGGTACAGACCGGAATATCTAGCTCGAGGGAAACGAGGCTCTGCCGAGCTTCCGCTAAACAGTTACCCGAGAGCTAGATATTCCTGTCTGTACCAACAGCCGGTGTTTGATTCTTTTTCTTGCATATTATATACATGTCAATTATTTTCGGAACAGAAATTATGAAAACTGATATTTTCATTACGCACTTTTTTCTTATAGTAGCGTATGAACTTACAACTTCATTCATTACGGAAAAATGACGTCATCCTAAGAACACGATTCATTCATTAAATGCGCGCGTCAATGACGTCATTTAAAGCAAGCGACTTGTCTTACATGGGGGGTGTAAGACAGAGTTTTCTAGCACCGGTGTAAACGGTAGATAATCCTGTCTGAGATGCATGAAAATCCTGTCTGACATGCAAGAAAAACATAGTGTAAAGACGTGCATTTAGCAAGATCAGTAAATACATAGCTAACATCACGGTCTAACACAAAATTTCCTTACAGACCTAACAACGCAAAGTAGTTCTCACTCAGAACTGCTTAAAAACCAGCAATTTAAAAGAAAGAATAATTTTTAATGTAGGCATTTAACGAATTACAGTGCATTAAACGTTCAGAGTAGTCAATAGAAATATGAGGTTACAATCACAAATTTCGCGGATGAATATCTTTTTTACCCAATGAAAAATGTTCGGCTATTTCCGTAAAGTTTAATCAATGAAAATGCTATTTTAGCTATGTCGATTACCGAATACTCCAGAGCGTAGTACACAAATAAATCTGACTGTCGAGTAGTGGAATATATACATGTCGTACTGTTTTGTCGAGAAGATTTTGCTTTTCGCTAAATTATTTTCATCAGTGTTAAACAACAGGTTTATCGTGAACAAAATACCTCGAAATTAGTAAGGATTACAAACACGAAATGGAAATTCTCAAATTAGAATTACAATGTATTTGTTTTTATTATAGCTACATAAATTATGAGATACTTCACCGTGGTGCAGAGGTAGCGCGCTCGTTTAGGGTGTGAGAGGCCAAAGGTTCAAATCCTAGTCGAGGCAACTTTTTTGTGTGTCTTTTTTAAGGAAGTAGCCACGATATGCAAAGATAAAATGTGGCTGTCATTTTTTGATGCAACTCTAGTCATGTAAAATTCCTTATGTATCAATCTCAAACTGTTATAGACGCAGTCGTTGCGTAAGATTAATTATAGTATATAAAAATAAACTTATACAGGGAAATACATACAGATAGTCAGTGTGATTTAGATTGCAAAGATCAGAAAATACCACAGAGGTTGCAGCCCTTTGATTAAAGTCTTGATTACCATAAAGTTCAGTAGACATTGTATACCATAGCATGCTTTGGTATACAAATGCCATTACATTACTAGCATTTTAACAGATGCATAATCATGCATGAATTCACCTTAAACATAGTACAAATGTAATTCAATCAAAATATATTGGGTGTTTTTCAATTCAAAGTTACATTGTAGTAATTTTATAAAATTCGAACTTTACTTTAACTTGATGACTTTGGTTGACATACACCTGAAATTTATTTCTGATATGAAATATGAAATACAAATGTAGTCACTCCTATGGTTTATCTAGGAAATAGACAGATCGTTCAATTCTTAGAATAATGCACAGTTTGAGTGCAAATGCTTAGTAATATAATCACGTAGGCCGAAAGGCCTATGTGATTAATTATAAAGCATTTTAATTATTTAGGAATTAGATATCAATTCTGAGTGCATTTTTGTAGAATAATGCACGGTTTGAGTTCAAATGCGTAGAAATATAATCAAGGAGGCCTATATATAGGCATGAGTGATTTAAAACGATAAACTTGCATTATTATACTAAAATGCAGGAAGAATTAATATCTATTTCCATTCTTACACGTCAAGAAAAAAACATGTATAAATTATTATGTAGTTGAACTTTATGTGCGGTGGTTGAATATTTTTTATCGCCTCAGAGTTTCCAATTGAAACGTTCTTTAAAGGCTGTTTCAGTGGGTTGTAAAAAACTGTCGTTAAATCTACCGTGTGTAGAAACATTTGAGAATAACGAATTTTGTAAACGTTTCTGTATTTTATTTCACTCTATATTTTTTAACGAGAAATACAAAGTATTTATAGTGATATAAATGTGACATTTAACTGGTTTTCAACATTTAAACAGCGTTCTTGTTTTGTTTTAGGCGCTACACTGTGACGTCACCTAAACAGTACTTTAAATGTCTGTACAGCTTTTACGACTGAATTTAAAAAATGGTTCTTAGTTAGACCATTTTCTTTCATTCAAGATAGGTTTCACAACAGAATTCGACAAAAAAAATTCTTATTTATCAGATTTTTCCAAACAAAATGGCGCCGTTGATGTGTCGTTTAGAATTTACAGAGGGAGAAATAAGAACGGCGAGTGCATTGATGCGAAATATATCATACTTTTGGCCCTCTTTGTTTAGTTAAGAGAAATTTCCGATAGTGTTAGAATTTGAAATATTAAATAAAGCATGCACAAATTTAAAAACTCTCTTACCCAGTCTGTCTGGCATATTTAATTCTTCAGAAATCCTCTTTGTTACTGAGCAAGTTGAAGAACCCCCAATTATTTATACAGTGTCAGGTCAAGTAATTAAGGAAAATAATAAAATTTTCATTTTCGTATTATACTTTGATTTCCACGAAATAATGTTACTTTGATTTCCACGAAATAATGTGATAAAGTACATGTATGCATGTAGATGGACTACGAGTGTCCCATTGTTTCTAGTATGTGTAATTAGTTCTGCTTAACAGGAAACCTTAACAGGAAACCTGACTTATTTACGTTAACTTAATTGTTCCCAAGTAGTTTTTACTTAAAGTACAAAGTTTAATGAAGTTTTGTCGGCAAGATTGCTAAAGTAATTTTTATTATAAATAAACAATTTCTCATACACGACCTATGAAACAACCAAACAAATTATAAAATATGTTAAAAATACCCTATATTTTATTTATATTTATATACCGTGTCTTGTTGCGCCTGGTTTAGCTGTGCGAAATATGCGACTGAGATCGGTCTTCCTATTCGTCTTTTCTGTATTTTCTCTTTCTGTAGTACAGAACTTTGGTTTCGTTCATATCTTTTGTAAACAAATGCTCGGTATAAGCTACTTAACTTTGTATCTGGTACATAAGTTGAATAATCTTTACTGGTGTCATCCGAAATACTTACAAAACACCTGATAACTGTTCGCTGCGCCGCAAATTCTTCGGACGTTGCCATTTTAACTTTTCTATTTTCTTTGAGATATTTTCATTTTCCTGTTTGTTTGTTTTTTTTTTTTTTTTTTTTTTTTTGTAAGTTATTAAACTGAATTTTTTACGATGATGTCAGCATAGCAGCAGAGGGAGGCAATGTGATATTGTGCAGACACATCATCAGATATTTGTAGTATGTATACGTAATTCATTTAAGCCGATTTTTAACAAAATGCAAATTATTTGACGTGCGCCGGGATCTCAAACCTGTGTCGTTAATATTGAAAATTTTGAAGTAACTCGAGTAGATAATAATAAACTTCTAGGTAATATGTGTGAATAAATATCTATGGCCGTTAAAAATGAACCGTCTGTAAGATTTGTCACAACACTCGTATATCCGTCTATTTATTAAGATCTGGAATGTTGAATAAATCGTGTGTTGCAACAAGCATCCCAGACACTTCCATGGTGATAAAATTTATCAATAACAGACAATTAATCCATTGTCAGAATACTGCATGAACATTAACATTCCCATCCGGCCGTACCTGATAGAGACATCTTGGATAGCAGTCCCTGGCAGTGACGCCTGAGAAAGTCGTCCCTTGCAGTGACGTCTTGGATGCCCGTTCCTGGCAGTCACATCTGGAAAACCTTTCATGGCAGTGACATCTGATATAGCCGTACTGGCAGTGACGTCTGCGATAAAATGATTTTCCAGTAATGAAGTAATAGGACGTAAGCCTACAATCAGCCCTTTGCTTTGTTTTTTCTTAACATGAATCAATCCGATGCTGTCTCTAAATTTTTTTTGTTTCGTTTTTACAGTCTGAAAAATACATTCCTTCCCCATGCAAAACTGCTCTTGATGACATTTGGGCATATTAAAGTATCCTACGAGCAATAACTGCCGTATGCTTTATGAAAAATTGAAAAGCATTGACAGCCATCACTCGTAAAATAAGTAAAACAACCCAGCGTTCCTTACATGCCTTAGCAAGCTTCCAAGTTTTCCATTTTTCTAGCTCCTTTTCTGAATGTTTTCACTTCTGTCAACACTTATTTTTTGTCTGTTACAATCCTCAAATAAGTTTTCTTTCTTTTAAAAAGGTGTATGACTAACAAATCCAAATTATATCCTTCTGAATCTTACACAATTATTTTCCTCCCATGAAATACACAACTTTAAAAATGGCTGCCGCTTACATTTTACAAAGCCAGGTCTAATATAAATTCGCAGTAAGTAACAGAAATATGGATGGATGGTTGGACTTTTTCTTCTACAAGAATTGTTTGTTTTTATTATAACAGCAAGCGATCATTCATATTTTTTAATAAAATGAATAAATATCACCGTCATTTAACCTTGATTGGCGGACTTATTTTTCAGCTCAAAACTTCTTGTTTTAAATGAGAAATTCGGTCTAAATGGGGCTCTCAATGGGGGAAACAGATTTTAATATTAACGTTAAAATTATGGAAATTTCGTTTTAACTTGTTTTTAAGCATAAAATAAAAAGAAAATTTGTCTGTTTGTTGTGTAAGATGTAATTTTATTTCATCTCGTGAACTTTAAACACAGTATTCTCACTCGTGGCTACGCCACTCGTGAGAATACTGTTTTTAAAGCCCACTCGATGAAATAAAATTTCATCTTACACACAAACAAACAAATATCCTCTATGTAATTTATGTTCTATGTTCCGTCGACTGCTTTGCGTTTTTTTTTGTGTTTTTTTTTTTGTTTTTTTTTTGAAACGGACAATATTGTCTACCTATGTTAAATTGATAAAGTACATACAATTAAAATGCATTTCCATTTGTACATATATTGTGTTAAAAGGATGCTTTAAAGGATGCTGATTGGTTTGACGCCGAATGCAGAAATTCAAAGAATATATATGTAGATGCCTCAAAGTCGTTTTATATATGTAAAACCCCAGCAAGTAGGGAATATTTGTGTCAATGTAAGAAAGAATATAAAAATTTAATCCGAAAGAAAAAGAAAACTTTTATGTCCAAAAAATATTCTGAAATTTAACGTTTAAGATTTTGTAAACCTAAACAGTTTTGGGGACAATTTAAAAAGAAAAAGGCTAATGTTTCTAAAGACATTACTCTTGAAGAGTTTAAATTGTTTTTTGAAAACTTATCTAATGGTAAATTCACTTCCATCAATAATGAATGTAATGACTTTTGTAATGAGCACGATTTTAACTGTGATGATTGTACCTATGAAGAATTGAATTTACCTATCACATGTGAAGAAATTAAAAAAGCTGTAAAAACACTTAAGTCAAATAAAGCTGTAGGCCCCAACTGTCTTTTAAACGAATATTTTATTGAGTCTATTGATATTATTTGTTACCATTTGTGTGATATTTTTAATGCCATTTTAGACTCTGGGTTTTATCCAGACAAATGGACGGAGGGTATAATTGTGCCCGTATATAAAAAAGGCGATCCGAAATTAGTTAACAATTATAGGGGAATAACTTTAGTCAGCTGTATGTCCAAGCTTTTTACTTCTATATTAACTAATAGAGTTGAAATATTTTGTGATAAATATTCGGTTTTTTCTGATTGCCAATTTGGCTTTAGAAAGGGGAGATCAACTGTTGATGCAATTTTTATTCTACATTCTTTAATACAACACTATTTAAATGATAATAAACGTTTAAATGTAGGGTTTATTGATTTGAAATCTTGTTTTGATAGTATTTGTAGAAATTCATTATGGATGAAACTGTATAAATGTGGTGTACAAGGAAAAATATTACGAATCATTAAAAATATGTATGACAAAGTAAAATCATGTGTAAGATGTTGTAACACCTATTCAGGTTTTTTCCAGTATGCTGTTTGCCTACGTCAAGGGGAGGTAACTTCGCCATTAATGTTCTCCCTATTCGTAGAAGACCTTGAATTATATTTACAAGATAACTTAAACTCAGGACTAAATTGATTGATGATATTGTTTTGATTTTATTGCTTTTTGCTGACGATATGGCCATTGTAGGTAAAACTCCTGAAGATTTACAAAAAGTTTAGATCTTTTGTATTCATATTGTTTTAAATGGGGATTAGAGGTCAATACCATGAAAACTAAAATTGTCGTTTTTAGAAAAAGAGGGCGTATTTTTATCAACGAAAAATGGACGTATAACGGTCAGCCAATAGAAGTAGTAGATCACTTTAACTACCTAGGTACAGTGTTCAGCTATACAGGCAATTTTTCTCTTAACAATGAGCATTTAACCGGTAAAGCTTTAAAAGCAATGAATACATTATTTATAAATTGTAAAGACATGG